TGTTAAAGATATCGAATTTCAGGGAAAAGAAACCGGTCCTTTGAGAGAATAAAAACTGCCCTTTGAGAAAATATTAGCCGCCTTTTGATTTTTAAAAACTCGCTCTTTGACCTTTTTTAGTGGCCGCCCTTTGACGTTGGAACGACTGTATAAGGAAAATCATTTTGAGCGGACATTGATCTTAGTTTGTTGCTATTTTATTTTTTGGAAATACTACACCTTTTTTTTATTTCTTCTAAAAAAAAAAGATGTCAGTTGCCGAATATAAAAAGAAATTATACGAGATACAAAGAACAGGCGAAAATAAGTCTTGCTTTGACTGTGGTGCGCCTAATCCACAATGGGCAAGTGTTTCCTATGGCATCTTCATTTGTCTCGACTGTTCAGGCATTCATCGTTCCTTTGGTGTCCACATTAGGTAAAGAATAAAATAGAAAGAAATGACTTACTGACTTGCTTAGTTTTGTTCGCTCAATCACAATGGACAAGTGGTTTGACGACCAGTTAAAAAAGATGGAGGTAAACAAAAAAGATTGTAAAGGATATTAGAGATTAAGCGTGCATTTAAAGTTGGGAGGCAACCAAAAAGCAAAGGATTTCTTTAGCTCTCAGCCTGATTATTCTCCCAATATGTCCATGAAAGATAAATACCACAGCCATTTTGCTGAATTATATCGAAGCAAGGTAAAGAAAAAAGGTGCCATAAAATAGAAAAAAAAAGACTCACTTAATATACAGTTGAGTGCTGAAGCTGAGGGACGTCCATGGACACCGACGCTTGTATCCAAAAAGCCATCAATGCCTACAACAAGCAGCACACGATCATTGAACTTATCAAACGAACAACGTTCAAGTTCTTCTATATCTTTAACGGATACTAAAGCTCGTAACGAAGAGTATTTTGCAAAGCTTGGTAACGTTAATGACAGTAGACCAGAGTAAGTCATGCACACATCGAAGAAAACAGAGAGGACTGATGAGTACATAGTAACTTGCCACCAAGTCAAGGAGGAAAATACACAGGGTTTGGCAATCCTCAATGTAAATAGTACATGTTGCGCCGTGTGTATTCTTATTCATGTTCACTTTTAGTTGATTATTCGCCACAGTCATCAAACACAGATATTCATGACCTCATTAACGACCCACGAGCTGCTATTGAAAAAGGCTGGTCGCTTTTGTCTTCTGTTGGTAAAGCAGCAGTTGAACTTGGCCGTCATGTAAAGAACAATGCAGTCAATGGTGAATATGTCAATCCTGCTGTTATTGATCAAATACGTGATAACGTAAACTATTATGTGAACTCACTCACACAACCAAGGGTAAAAAAAAAGCAAAGCATACATGATTTATGAGTACTCAATTTCTTTTATAGCAAACCCAGTCATCTGCATCATCTTTCCTTTACTCTTCAAGCAACCATACTTCATCAGCAGCAGATGATATGACAGATGAAGATTTCTTTAAAACTAGCTTGGGATCTTCAAACAATAGCAACTATTTATCCCCCACAACCACGACTATCCCTTCAGCAAAACCATCTCGACCAACAGTCACCACGACAGACAGTAGCACCTCTGTACGTGCAAGAGCAAACTCTTCCAACAGAAGAAAGACAAACAAGACCAACGATGAATGGAGTGACTGGTGAAGGAGACAATGCCAATAGACACACATAAATTAATCTTCTGCAAATTATACATCAAATGTTTGGAAAGCCATTGCTCTTCCTATTCAGTGTTTGAAGACTCCATGTTTATAAAAAAAAATAAACTTTGACATGTGTATTTAAAGAATATAAAATAAAAAGAAAAATCAATACTTCGTCGACCCTCCTTTTGCGACAATTACCGCCTCGCATCGAGCCTTTACGCTTCCGACTAGACATGCTATTAATCTAGGGCTTATTTTCCCTCACTTTTCTCTCAACACGACATTCAGCTCTTTAGTAATTCTTATCTTACCTCTTCTTTTCATGATAAGATTACCCAAAGCGGCCCAATCATGCTCTATCTGGTTCAAATCAGGACTTTGTGCGGGCAAGTACTTAAAACCCCTAATCTGGTGGGTTTCCTTCCACCATCGTGCATAACCACCAGTTGTGACAGCTAGCTCCATCCTTTTGGAATATGAAGCCTCTGTCCTCTTGCTGACAGAGTTGCGCGAACCAGGGATGGAAAGTTTGAGCTAAAATTTTTATATATTTACCTTGATCAACTGTGCCGTCAACCAAGACCAAAGGACCAAGACCATTGGCATGAAAGCAGTTCCAAATCATCACCCCACCGCCTCCATACTTCTTCGTTGGTACAATATGCTTAGCGTCATATCGTTCACCAACTTTTCTGATGACTCTGGCATCATCATCGTTACCGGTAACGGTGAACCAAGATTCATCGTTCCAAACTGCGCCAGGTTACTGCTCATCCGTCTAGTTAACATACTCATGAGTCCATCGAAACCTTTTCTTCATGTGTTCTTCTATCAATGCAGGTTCTTGAGCAGCAAAGTAAGTACCATACCCCATCCTCTTCAAACTGCTGATAACAGTCTGTCTACAGACCTCTACATCTACGTTATGTAGTTCTAATCTCAAATGGTCGTATGTTACGAATGGATCATCGTCTATATTTCTCGTAAGCAATCTTTGCAATCCCCCATTAGTTTTACAGGCTCCACGCTTTGTATTGATTAGTAGAGGCGATCCAGTCTTCTTTATTCTATCAATCGTGCTTTGTATTGTTGATTTAACTATCTCGACTATGTCTGTGATGCCGTTATAGGAATGCTCTACTTTTCTAAGGTAATAAATACCCCAATACTTTCTCTCTTCGTATGGCTGATAAGGATCACGTTCTTTGGTTGATACTGTAAATGTGTTCCTTTCATCCTATTCACAAGAGCTAGACCCGGCTGAGTAGCTGTGGGCAATTGTCAAAAGCATTAGAAAAGGACCTGTTTGTGAAAAGGAGAAACTCTGTTGATAAGAGTAGCTATGCAATAAGGTAATTGTCAATCATTTAGAGGAATCCATATGGCCTCTAGATTTGATCTACATTTGTTCCTGACCACAAATAGCTCCGAAATAAAATGAAATTATGAATCTATTACTTTCTTTCTTTCTCTTTTTAATCAGCTTTGACAACAATATTGACATGTTTAAATACATTATTCAAAAGAAGAAAGATCAAATTATTAATAAACAAAGATTGATAGAAAGCATTGATGGCGCGTTTAGAGGTGGACCTCGTATACTTCATATGATACTTGCAAAATATTCACTGATATATTGATCTATAACGTACAGACATGGTTTGTAAAGCCTGTCAGAAGAAAGGATATGCCAACAAAAGTTACTATAAATGCAAATATTATAAAGAACCTTTTGCAGACGATGGTAATTCACTGTTATATATCATAAGCTAATATTCGAAACTTAGTATATACGCATCTCTTATTAAGGTTGGAACGTCGGTTGGGAAAAAAAAAAGAAAACAAAGCTCAGGCGTGAAGCAAGAAAAGCAAAAAGCCAAAAGACAAAAAACGATAGAATGTTCTTCATCGGTTACTTGCACTAGTTGTAAACAAATTGGCCACAAATCAGCACGCTCTCCAGATTGCCCCAATCATATGTTGTCAAAAAACGAGGTTTTTAGTCGAAATTTGGGACAACAATTTAAAACATTCACAAGAAAGTTATCGTTTGATCAATGTGTCCACAGTTCCGACCAGAGTTCCTTGAAGTCTAGGATGGTCTCTGCATGTGAAGGCACGCGTCAAGTAGTTTTCAGAGCTCAGGTTTTTATCAACCAGTACACATTGAACTTAAAAGTCCATTCGAATCATATCTTTAAACAAACTTTTTGATATTCAATATGTCAATTAGTTATGGATAAGGGGGTGACAAACAGTGCTGCACTGCCAGAAAGCTAACATGAAAACTGGAATTTGTTTAGACAAAGTCATAAAAGCATTATATATACCAAAAAGCTTGCGAGTGAAACTAGCCAGTGTCTTTCAGAGACATGTGTACAACTAGCGACCACATACGCAAACTGCATAGTCGAGAGCTTTGAAGCAAGATTGCTTAAATACCTTTCGTACCTTATGCAAAACACTTTTGTGGTAAGTTTCATTTTTTGTGAAATATTCTACTAGAATATGTAAATAATTCGTGATATATAGTCAATAGCGTACCAAGACGTGAAGAAAATAGCTTATGACTATTGTTATCAAACTGTATATAAAGGAGAACCCAAATGGCCGCAAGGCGCTACTTTCATTCAAGAAACAAAAACAGCAGTTGATGAGGCTTCCTAAGTAATTTTTTTTTGGCATGGGAATGGTGACATTCGTATCAATAACATTAACAATAGCAAGTGGATGACCTTTATTATTATTATTATTATTAGCAATCTCTTTGGTAAGATCTGCGTGTTTGCTCTCGAATCAAACGCAATTCACTGCATTTTCGATGGTACCACCTCTCTTTTTCTTCTAACAGATATACATATTGATCTAGGCTCTGATCATCATTTCGCCCCACAACTATAATTGGTACATTTATTGTTTAAAAATGCGGTGATGTCATGATTACTCAAAGCGCAGCGCACAAAAGCGATGCCAGTCCTTGGTGGAGTCAATCAAAGAGTAGATTGCAGGGTGAGTGGGACGACGCTTCGTTTTCCAAAGTTCTTCATTATGCAAAGGTCGACACAACCGCCAAAAGGCGTCCGTTACCATCAATAGAGTACGTATGTTCTTCAAATTGACAAATGATGCCAATTCTTCCAAGGAGCGTGGAAATATGAGCTGGCCAATTTCTTGCATAAGATACATTCCATCATGACGCAGGCGTGTCAAGAAAAAGGTGATGTTATATCCATTGATCTGAAAATTCATTGCGGCTTGCAGTTTGTTAACATCTACAGTATCCTTGGTAAAAGTTGCTAAACGCAGGAGATCATGGCATAGAGCATGGTTATCGGTGGAGGGGCGTGCCAACTTCACTTCGCCAAACCCAAGGCTTGGTCCAAAATCACGCTGGCATAACTTAGAAATAGTGGCATCAGGGCGCAGCTCCCCAGTTTCATCACCTGTGACATTTGACCATCGCAACAAGACGTTTTTGTCAGGATCGGAAAGCAACGCGGATAAAATGGGATCAAAATACATTGTAAAGAGCTCACATTCGCCAATGTGTTTCTTGGTCTTCATGGCCATCTGAGGCAGTTTTCGCATTCTATTGGAAGGATATTTAGTTCGCAACAAAAGTAAAGTACACCGAATATTTTTCACCATCATACTTTCCATGGTAGCTTACTCAGTCATGATGCCCCGCGCCAAAGACCGTTCAAAAGAGTTCAAGTCCTTCCCAAGCATCAAGAGATCCAATTCGGCATCATCTTTTGATTGTATGTTTGATTCTACATTGTTGATTATACGAGCTAACTTCATACACGCATCATCAGTCATATCCAAATTGAAATCCATGATTTCCGATAATAGTTCCTTGCTCAGTTCAGAAATAACGTCTTCGGTAAAAACATTCATGCATAATGGACTATGTTGACCAGGGCATAAAAGTAGGATATTGGACAGGGCTAAAAGCTCGTGTACGGATGACTCGATAAAGAACAAATGGTTGCTGGACATTCGATTAACAGCTTGTCGGGATCTTGTGAATAATTCTGCCACATCTACGTCCTTGAAAATCCATGGCGTAAGTGGGGACATATTTTCCACGTCTTCTGCTAAAGGATCAGCAGTTACTTCAGTCGGGGCAGTGTCAGCTTCTGTTTCGAATTCAACATCGGTTGTCCTTATGGTATCGTTTGCTGTGGAGCTGAAAGTATCTGATGATATGGCCGTTGTGGGAGTGAGTGTCGTGGTATCTGTTGCGGTGACGGTAGAAAAAAGCGTCCTTGTTTCTCTTTCAACGACGTCATGGACGTATTCAGCACAGCCGATGTGGGCGTCGAGTTGGGTCCTTTTTCGCGATCTTTCTAACCAATACAACTTGAATGCTTTGGATTTCCTAAAGAGATTCAACTCTGATTGCAATTGTTTTTGATCCTATGCAAAGTGGCGATTGTTGATGATCGAGGTGTATCGGCTGACTGCATAATGTCTATCCAGCAAACCAAATTCATCTGCGAAAGATTTCAGCGTGAGGGTATCCTTGTTGTTAATGCACCACTGAATATCTGCAGCCATAACACGCTGCTTCTTTTTTGGTGGATCGTTTGTGGACGAAGAAGCTGCAACTTGCTTCGATTTATCACGCATTAACAAAAAGGTGGATGTGAATAAGCAAACAACTGAAGGAAAACCATGAGAACTGCACACGAGCTGAGTCAATTTTTACTCCTTTTTTTTTGTCTCTCATTTTTTATGAATGATTGGTTTGAGCAGCCTGAGAGATGCTTGGGATTAGTACGTTTTGTCTTTTATTTAAAAGTCATAACCGAACGCCCTCGAGACTGTCCCTATGATGGAAAACTTTCAACAGTTGGAAATCTTGGAAACAGGTTTCCAGATGGCCCAAATCATATACAGTAAGATGTATTTTTCTCATGTTCTTTACCAGTAGGATTTTTCATATTAGAATGGTTATTGGACTACAACACTCCATTTTATGCAAGACATTGGCCAGCTCACATTTCCACGCTCCTTGGAAGAATTGGCATCATTTGTCAATTTGAAGAACATACGTACTCTATTGATGGTAACGGACGCCTTTTGGCGGTTGTGTCGACCTTTGCATAATGAAGAACTTTGGAAAACGAAGCGTCGTCCCACTCACCCTGCAATCTACTCTTTGATTGACTCCACCAAGGACTGGCATCGCTTTTGTGCGCTGCGCTTTGAGTAATCATGACATCACCGCATTTTTAAACAATAAATGTACCAATTATAGTTGTGGGGCGAAATGATGATCAGAGCCTAGATCAATATGTATATCTGTTAGAAGAAAAAGAGAGGTGGTACCATCGAAAATGCAGTGAATTGCGTTTGATTCGAGAGCAAACACGCAGATCTTACCAAAGAGATTGCTAATAATAATAATAATAATAAAGGTCATCCACTTGCTATTGTTAATGTTATTGATACGAATGTCACCATTCCCATGTCAAAAAAAAATTACTAAGGAAGCTTTTTTTTCAGAGGTTCTGCTTATTACGGCATTTGTCCAAGCATTTACGTGAATGCCAAACAAAGCCTTTAAAATCGTTCAGCTTTAGGCTATTAGAAGCCTCGCTGATCCGGGTCATCAATGTCTTCTTCTCGAGAAACTTGTTGCGTTTCACTTTACTTTTGACCACTGACCAAAACTGCTCAATTGAATTGAGTTCAGAAGAATAAGATGGCAAATAGATACAGCGGTAGCCACGAGATTCTACAGATTTAGCTATATCAGCCGATGTATGGATTCGAGCATTATCCATCACGAGGTAGTGATCTTTCATGTGCGGATACTGGTCCATTTCATCCATTGTGGCTTTAAGAAAGCTGACATAGTGTCTCGTAACTGCTCCTTTGCTCATATGCCCAACACCATCTCCCCGTTTTCTCTTTTTATTGGATGGAGGCTGAGGAAGTCTAAGACTGCATTTGACTAGACCTTCAGCAGAAACCGCGCCTAAAATGGTGGTTGTTGTTGCTCGTGTTTTAGGAACTGTGACCACTGCCGGTGTACCTTTCTTTGGCCATGCCATACTATGCTTCAAATTAATATGGAAAGCAGACTCATCAAGAAAGACATAGTTCCTCGTAAAGTCCATGTCTGTATTTTCCCACGTACGAATTCAATCCAAGCGCTCTTGAATCTTTTCCTCGCTGTTCCGGTCTATGGGTTGAAGCCGAGCTTTTTTGAGAGACAAATTGCAATGCTCTTTTACAAAATCAAACAACGTACTTTTAGATACTTTTAATTCTGTGAATATTTGCTTTAACTTCTTCATTACTTCGTCTAGGACGACTGAAGGATTCTCATCAATGTACTCAAGAATAACGCTTTTGTAGTCCTCATGGAGAATACATGGATGACTAGTCTTTCTCCGGTTTTGAAAGATACTATCAGGATCCTTTTCGTACTGTTTGGCCCAGTTTTGTGCTGTACGAACATGAATCCTCAGTTGTTTTGCAGCAGCGGCCGCACTCAGACACTTCTCAAACATCAATTTGAAGAACCTCACTTTGTCCTGATCAGAATAGCGCGTGTAACTTCGTTTCACTAATGTTTCCTTCATTTTAATATCACTACTAGGCTTTGCCTCTTTTTCTATCTGCATTACCTCTACTTCTTTCTCGCTCGCCAGAGATAGTTGAGCTAAATATTGTGTATGAGAGTTCAACATTTCAAGACGAAACTGCTCCTCATCAACAATATAATTCATTGGTTCAGGTCGACCATACTCGTCGACGACAGAACCTTTTCCATTTTCAAATAAGAATTGAATGTTCATAATGTGTGATTTCTGGTGCAACTGTGAAAAAGAAACAAAACGGAGACGAGCATTTGGTATGCTTTTATATATCCAAAGACGCCAAGGTTTGTTGCACTACAGAACATTTTTGGCAGCAGAACATCTGGTTTGTCAGCAAAGACAAATTTATATTTTGTGCAATACGGATTTTGTTCTTGCCATCAGGCGAAGTGGTTTTCCACCAGAGCGAATTTATTTTTCGTACAACGTGAATTTATTCTCGCTATTGGGCGGATTTACTTTCTGGAAAGAGTGTATGTTTTTAAGTAACCAAAATTATATCCAGTCGGATTTCTCTCCGTATTTGTTAATTATATCCAATCAAATCACTTTATTTACAACTCCATGTGCCTAGTAAGAGGTATGTCTTTGATTTCTACCGGCGCATCCTCTTCTTCTGCATCAGGGTCAGTCCCGTAAACGGTCCTTGGCCACTCGTCTTCATCATCGTCGTCATCACCTGCGACGAGTTCTGTGCCATTCACAAATTGTGGTTCTGGTTCGTATACCTCGGGTAGCTCCGTAGGCTCATCATCCAAGTCCTCTTCATCATCATCTAGTGTCGCTGTAGGGTCATCTTCTTCATATTTCATATCTTCATATTGAGATTCGAATAAGGGTTCTGTGGGTGTCGCTACCCACTCTTCTTCCTCCACCTCTGCCTCTTCTTGTTTGACGCTTACAGGGTGCATCTTTACAGCATATCTTCCACAGTCGAGCTGCCACTTGCCTAAAGATTCTGCGCGTTGGCACTCGCCTAACGACCAGGTTTCGCCATAGGTAATAGGTGCGTAGATCAAAAACGTGTAAATAATCGCAGCGGTAATGACGATCAAAACCAGAGGCTTCGCTTTGACAGCCACCTTGCGAGTGATAAGGTCAATGCCGACGCCCATGGTAAGAACAGCAAAATAAAGCGAAGGCATGTAGTGGTGCAGGAACAGCTGTCGTTTCATAAAGTAAAAGGGGAGGTAATGTATAGCCCATGCAGCAACAAAGAAGCCAGCAGAGTTTTCATAAAACTGTCTTTGACCACCAAAATGATCATGGTAACCACGTTTATCACGCAGTTGGAAGAAGGTAGCGAGGATCAAGAAATTGAAAACACTCACGGTTGATACCCAATAGACCAGTGGGTTACCTAAAAGGATGATCTGTCGTGTATCCTTTGACCAGAATGCAATACCCGATAACAAAACGGGCCATGCCGAGGGTCGTGATTCATAGGGATGAGTGTCAGTCAGATCCTTATTCACAGTCCACATTTTCTTTTGCAGGTAAATAAATTTTTCAAAAAAGCCTGGACGAGGCTCAAGGACACTAGGCACACTGTCAGGCACTATAAAAAGGTAATACTCATATCAGCTCCATATTTCAACCTTTTTTTGTTCTAAGCTTACATAGATCATTTTCATGTTGATCAACCTTCCATAGTGTCTTTGGTTTTGTTCCTTCCACAATACAAGACACTTCCAATTGCTGAAACCCCCAATCGGGAAGTCTTTCCATATTAGAATAAAGCCGGCAACTTTGGTTCGGGTGATATAGGCGAAAAGAGACCTTTCTAGCTTCAAGTTTATCACCATCTTCAATTTCGACTTTCCAAAAGTCATTAGAATCGCCTTCGAAATCAGGAAATCCATAGCCACTGATGAATAAGACTGTTAGGTTTATGACCTAATACAAAAATAAAACATACCTGACTTCTTTATGATATGTTGTATCCGTGATGGGCGCGGCAACATCATGACTATGTAGTTTGCGTGGAGCTGTTTCTACATGTTCAAGACGAACAAGATCGCCATGACGGACGTATTGGAGCCATGTCTTGTTATCATTTGCCAAGACATCTGGGATTAATTCTTGCTCCGTCTCATTAGCCTTTAATATCCTCCACCAATTATTGTCGTCTCTGAAAGGATAAAGCGTGATCTGTTGCTGTTGTGACCCTTCGGGGTAATACGATTTATGTGAGTGAAGGTATCCATTGACACTTTCCAAATGACGTATTGTGATTAATGATCCATATACAATGGCTATTAAAAGAGTAAGTGCGTGATTAGATTGAAATAGGATATACTTACGGGCGGGCTCTTCTACAGGATCAATTCCTTTCAATTCGTTTTGGAATTCAACTGTCATAAACGTGTCACCGGGACCAGGCTGTGTCAAGACAGCAAAGTGAATGTAGAAACAGGAAATATACAGGATGATTGGAAGAATAAATAAGCCAATAAATCGAAATATAAAATGTGCTGTAAATTGAGACTATGACACGGTTATGATTTACATGCTCTCTAGGCTTGCCATTTTTTTTTTTTTTTTTTTTTTTTTTACCTTTGTCACTTGAAGATTACCCCAGATATACCAAAGTTGTTTGATGGTTGATAAGCCAACAGTTGCCATAGTAAATAAACCAACCCATTTACTAGTAAAGCTGCAGCCTATGCCTACACCTGTCAGTAGCAACCATTGCCACCATTCCCTTTTAAATGCTCTTTACAAGGAGTTAATGCATACACAAACTACGTGGTCTTTTCATAACTTGCCTTGATTGATAGAATTTAGTATATGCAAAAATAGTGAAAGCTGTGAAAAATAAGAGATAAGAATCCAGTAAAATCAGTCTATTGTTGGCAACCAATCCGTTCTCTTGGTAAAATTAATGAGTTATTTAATACACCAATATTTACTTTACTTACCAAAACAGATGGCGATGGCAGCAACAATAGAAGCCATGTTAGAATGCCCGCATCCCCTGATAGTTAAATAAGCAAGAGGTATAACCAATGCTCCAAATAAGGCACCAAAAGCACGCATCTGTACAAATGGCACAGTATTCGGATATTCCCTACAAATAACCAATATGAGCATTACTTTTCCCCTTACTTTTTTTTTGTTTGGGGGTTATATTACATTCCAATTTCTTCAAATTCAAAGGATCCATTAAACCCACATATCCAAGCAATAAATGTGATCAGTAACTTTGCCAACTATATCAACTTTACTGTTTAGTCATGCATCCATACATATAAACTAATAACCATATGCTGAACTTACGGGTGGATGAACATCAAAGAAATAACTTTGTTTGATATAATATGCAGCATATTTACCAAAATGGACTTCATCAAACCTGCATAACCATTGTCAAGTAAATACAAATTAAATGATTCTATCTATTTACACAACTTGAGAAGGAAAAGATATATTCTTGAATCGAACAGGAATAGCCAATATAAACAATACAAGCGCTATCCACTTGTCATAGGGATTAGACCTAGATCTAATCTCACTCGATGCCATTTCGCGCAATGAAAAAGAGAAAAGAAAAAAGAAAGAAAAGAGGCAAGTTGTAGTCTGCTTTTTATTTCATGTTACACCATTTTTCCACAAACAATTGGCCAAGTCAAAAAAGGCAACATGGGATGCTGTCAAGAAGAGTGCCCTTCCTCTCTCTTTTTTTGTCATTGCCTGAATTAGCATCCAATTGTCTTTCGCATAGTGTCCAGTAAAATGTCAGCGTGATGTCTTTGAAAGGTCAACATAGGTCTCAATCGCACCGTCTTTTCACCACATCCACCCATATTAACACCTCGCTGTCTCATCTCTGTCAGAAAAGAATCTCTGTTGTCCATATCAAATGCTATAAATGATCCCTGACCACGCACATTTTCAACCTTGGGAATTTTCTTGAGATGGTCCTGTAAGTATTGACCTACTTCCTTGACATTATCCAGCAAGTTCTTGTTCTTTATTTCCTGAACAATTCTAGCGGCCTGCATCGCACGGACAGGGTCGCCCATCCACGTGTTATACAGTCGATAAGGTTGGTCTGGACGAAGACGTGAATGCATATAGAAACCGGCTGCTTGAAATTTTTTGGAAAATGTAACAATATCAGGAGGCGTAGGTAAATTCCATGCTTCATGTGCCCAGAATGTGCCTGTGGCTCCCACGCCCGTTTGGACCTCGTCTACGATAAAGAGAGCATCATGTTTCTTGCAAAGAGCCTGCAGTTGTCTAAAAAATTCAGGAGAAGCTAAGGGTCTACAAGTTAGTTTGTGTTTCTCTCTCTTTTTTGTGTAGGGCTCTACCATGATTATCGCCACCTTCGGACTGAACAGGCTCTATAATGACACCAGCCACCTTTCCTTCACTCATTATCGCATCAGCTACTTCCAATGCCTCTTCTTCAACCCGTCTATTGTAATCCTTGTGTTCGTCCAAGGGATACTTTAGCTTTGGAAAAGGTGCCTTGGGCCAATTGAATGCAGGAATATCGATTTTATGGATAGCCTTGCTTGCAGTAGTAGACAAGGAACCCAAGAGACGACCATGGAATGCTTGCTGGAAACTCAAGATGACCATATCCTCAGGAGAGCCAGGTGCTTGATTCTTCATGCATGATTCCAGCTCCTGTACGCTAAAATCAGCTTGACCTCTTTTCTTTGCTGCCTTGTACATGAATGCTGTCTTGAACGCATTTTCATTTGCACACGATCCACACATGACCGTAAACACATTCGACATACCCTTTGGAGCAACCGAGATGAAAGCGCTTTTAACCGAATCGACCCAATCGATATTTGGACTGACACCTAAAGCTGGTCTAAACACACAAGGCATTGGTTCATGCACAACATTAAGGAGGGGTAGCTAGCATCTTACCTGTTTGCAATAGCAGTTTGGAACTGAGGTTCCTGAGACAGTTCAAGGAATGTGGGATGGTTATAACCAAGAGGGATTGAAGCGATCTGGGCAAACACGTCAAGCAACACATTTCCATCAGCATCTGCAATATAGTTTCCCTTTGATTTTGCGTAATCTAAAAAAAATATTATAAACACTATAACTTTTTGTGTATAACTGTCTACCTGCTACAAAGAAGATAGATCTCGTGTCTTGATATTGATTCAATTGAGACATGATCTCTTTTGACTTTGGACCAGGAATGGATGTCTTGACCGTAGGCTGACTAGGTTCATCAGGAAAGTAACGAGTCATGGTAGCGAGATATCGAACGCGCTTTTTGAGACAAGCTGAGGCAGAACGTAATGTAAGCATGTTTATAAAATAATAAAAAAAGGTAGAGTAGAAGCAAAAGAAAAGATGGGGATTTATATATCAACCGTATAATCTACGTGGGAACAGTTTCCTTATACTGCAATTTTGTTTGTCATGTTGACATTTCATCAAATAGTGTGTGGTAAAATTTATCAATCATTAGAGATAAGATTTTTAACCTAAATTGGAACAGTCAGAGATTATTTTTGAGTAACGTGAAATTAAAGATACATTCGCAAATTCCCGTCTTTTAAGACTCTTTTCTATCGATAACGAGTATTAAAGGATACTGATTGAATAATTCTCAAGGACAAATACATAATCCATAAAAAGGAGCTACTGAGGATTGTGACTTGACTGCGTCAAAAAGAAAAGCCCTTACAGAAAAAGAAAAGGAGAAAGCGGATCAAACACGAGAAATAAGACAACAAATGTCTACCATAATGTAAACCCAATGGTGCTTCAAAGTTAAATAGAGTTTTTATTGAAGAGATTGTTTTGCTAAATGTAATTCATAAGCCAACTGTTTGATTTCTTGTTCTTTCAAATTAAGTTTATATCTAAGCTCTTCACATTCGTTTCTTTTAAAGTTTAGCTTTTCAAATAGTTTTGACTCTTCAACTTCCATAGATTCAATCTCGTTCAAGAGTATTTGTATTTTATGCTCATAATACAGTTGATTTGTTGGTAGCAGCGACCTCCTTTTTGTATCGCCCTTTGACAGCAACTTGAGCTTTCTTTCTAACGCTTGCTTCTCTTTATTTGTCTGAAGCAGTTCATATTCTACAATTTGTTTGGCTTGTCTCCAAGATTCAAATCTGTCTCTTTCAGCCATCAACTGTTGCTTCAGTCTGATATTTTCTTGATGAACTAATGACATATATTCCATTTCTGGACTCGTGTCAACATCATCATCGCTATCATCCTCATCTCTAGGACGATGCATGACTATTGCCCCATTGGCTTTCATCGTAGGCTGAAATGCTCTTGCGCTATGTTTACCATTTGTAAAAATATGATCCAACTTCATTGAAGGGAAAAAAAAAGAAAAAGTAAAGTGATGTACCTCTTTTATACAGACATCATATATCACACAAGAAACATGGTGATCGACTATTAAACCTGTTGTTTCTCCTTTAGTGTCAACTAATTTTCTTCTCCTTTTTTGTGCACCCACGTAAATTAAACAGTAACACGAAATATCCTGCATAAATATGGCCAATCATCACTATAAACTCACATTCAAGTTTACTCGTGATATCCTATAAAGGACCTACTTTGCTGGTTATTGACTTGACGAACTTTTACAAATGTAAAGATGACTACAGCACCTTTAGTGGATGAACAGGGTGCTTTCAGCAAAAATCGGTCCGAACACAAGACTGATACAGTCAAACCTATGGAATTTGGTGCTTCCTAAAAAATAATTGGCTTATTCAGAGATCAATCCTCTCCCTATATTTCTACTCGGTTTATGTAAGCCAGTTTCCAGTACTTTTGCGCCTATAGATGTCCACGACGGATAAATCTTCAGATAAGTCCATACCTCTATTCAACTGTCTACAAAGTGTCATCTGCAAAATCCAGTGCATGAAAAATAACTCACGGACAGTCACGCGGCTACGAAACGTAAAGCAGTTTATTTTTTTTTTTTTTTTTACTACACAGATGATTATACCTCAACCACCAGTCTCTGGTCATGACTCACCTGGTGGGTCTGACATGGACGTTTCTGATGATGAGGGTGAAATTCCTAATCCTTCTTCAGTAACTGAGCATTAAATGTAAAAAATATGATACAGAGAATTAACTTTATATTTTGTGTTGCCAGTCTACACAGACATTTCAACCTGAACCTGAAAAGGCATCCTCGGAATACTATGAAGATGAAGATGAAGATATGGAATCAGTCTGTAGTTACAAAACTGCTCCTAGTTCTCCTCCACCTTCTGGCTTTTCTCTTTTGGATGAAGAATGCAAAAAACTGACTGAAGCTTTAGAAGAAGCAGAACGTAACAACAGTCAAGTGCTTCGTCAGTTATCAGAACTTAAATTACACCAAGAAGAGTTAAAGATTAAGCTGCTAGAGCTTCAAGTACGCTCATCTATAAAGGCTGCAAGAAACAGCAACGCGTCGTCAAACAATAATGGCGCACCTACTAGTTCCCGACCTGCTCAGGGCAATTCACCTGCAAGTACTCAGCCTCAAACTGTCACTGTGAATGATGTAGCGCTTAACTTGCAGCCACTGAAAAAAGAATACATGCGGCTTGATGAAGAAAAACGAGCTGCTAAAGCAAACACAAGGAGAATGAAAAAGACGGTGGAAAAATTGAGAGCAGAGATGACGGATGTGGAATTATTAAGAAATGCACACAGCGAGGCAGCACCAGAATATGAAAAAAAATTGTCAGATCTACGCGCTAATCTGCAACAAGCAGAAAAAGATTATGAAGGAGCTTCAGCTGATTCTATAGTTGCTACTAATAGAGTTGTGGACTTCAACTCACGGGTAGAAAAGCTTGGTGTCAAGGTCGCAGACTTGAAGCCTTCACCAATTGATCAACGTAAAATTACGGACCCACAAAAATTAAATTTGAACTATGTGGATGAGCTGGATAAAAAGCGTAGACTCGATTCTGAGAATGATATCCCTGCTAAGCGTGCAAAAGTACCCCAAGGTTCATCTGCGCCTACGGTTAAACAAGTGAATATCATGCCTTACCTCTTTTGTCATGTATTAACTGCCTTATATATAGGAAAATAATACGAGCCCCCTTCCATCAAAGCCATTTGAAGGATTTATCGTAAGTGTTGTCGAGTGTGACATGATTACTTGAACTGATAGACTTGATTGTAGAGAAAAGATGGTTTCCGTGATTTTAGTGTATGTATAGCTTTACTTCTCCTCCCCTTTTTAGGAACTGAGATTGATTTATTCCCTCCCTTTATCATAGCATATTACCACCAAACCTGATTTTGCATTTCAGTCATACGAGGAAATGCAACAGACAGTGATTTGTTTAGTAAATGATTTAATTGAAGATCATTCAGTTTTTTTTCGAAAAGAGAATGAACGTAAGCAAGGGAAGAGAGCTAGTGTCTCAAACCCTCCAGTTCCTAAGAGTAGCACATCTAGCCATGGACAGTCAAATACAACTAAACCATCCAATGCCACTCCTTTACCAACCCCTGACAGAAGCCGTGTATTAATTCCCAGCCCTCAATTAGCTGAAATCAAGCGAAACATTGAAAGTAACAGATCATCAATAGTTGATCCTGTTCCTTCAAGTACACTCGCTGCATCTTCAGCTAAGAGCAAGGGTAAGGGCAAGGGCAAGGAAATGCCTATTGAGGTTGATATACAGCAAGACAATAGCAATAATGCGAATTCCGTAAGTGAACTAATAGAACAACAAAACACAGTGTTTGACTTAGCTTCAGGTACATTTTCGACCATATCGTCAAGCTGTCGAATCTATTGGCATTGGTACAGGTTTATTACAGGTAGCTAATAATGAAAAGCCTTTATGCTACTATGAAGCCAGCGGGGGTCAATGTAATGACAGCAAGTGTCAGTATGCACATTGGCGCGATTTTGCAAACATTTAGTACATATGCATTTTAATATATATACGAGGATAAAATAAAGATCAAGGTTTCTTATGCGTTATTTGTTTACTTTACTTGAACAAAACAGGGCTTTTACCGCTCAAAAGAAATAGTGTGTATTGACTTCCACTGCATACAAATGGAACCATATGTGTTAAAGTTCCGAAGGAATGACCCAGTCAATTTTCATTCCGTAAGGCTTAAGCACACAGAAAACGACCCTTGGCAGTTTTTTAAAGAAAAACGTTTTAGAACATACAAGAATGCACGCACGTTCATTCTTTTTCTTCTTCATTTCTCTTCAGCTCAAAAAAAAAATACCCGAGAACAATGTTTCTGAATATCAAGATTTCACTTGCAGTTTTCACCCTTTTTTATACCCTTGCTCACGCATACAAAAGTAAGTCTTACTCAACAAGAGTTTACAATGTCTGTGCTGATATGTTGAGAAGTCGTATACTGTGACGATAATGGATGTACATCTGAAGAACATATGACTTCTGATCCTGATCTTTCATTTAATCCTACACCCACCTCTTTCTCTGCCGTTGCCACATCAACTTCAAGCGGTTCAACCGATTATAACGCCATTGTCCATACCACTTCTCTTATAGCCAAGTCTTCTGATGGCGCGGGGACATCATTTTCTAATTCAAGCGAATGGAAAATTATCGCCGGTAGTTTAGGCGGTATTATTGGTGCTGCTGTTATAGCTACAGCCATCTTTGCGGTCAGATACATTCGCACTAGACGCTCTGATCTGAAACAGACTCATACTGATGAGGCTACCCATACTGGAAAATTTCCGAACCATGAAGACGCTAACCAGAAAAGAACTTACAGGAATGGCACGTCATCTATTCCGGTGTGTATCGTACCAATGGATGATGCAAGCAACTCCTTGTTGAACCATGAATGGAAGCAACTGATGAAGGCCGTATATCAGCAGGACTGGTACAAACTCAGTCAAGACGGTTCTCATAGGCATAAAAACAAGGGCGAGCAAGAGGATGTTATCAGAAAAGAACAAACCAGCGAAGACACCAAACTTGAACCTCCTCAAGTCATATCATCTGCAAGTAGTGCTGAAAGGTCCTAGCTACGTGTTTTTTTTTTTTTTTTTTTACATCATCCTTTAGTTGATATCAAGTATTATGGGTAACTTTGTTATATTTCAATTCTAAATAGACAGTAAAGTTAAATAGTAAACATGGATAATCTTTTTTGAAAACAAGAATTGAGGAGTATTATATATGTGCAATGGACCTGATTTCGTAATACGACATTTTCAAAAACTATTCGTACACATTATAAGATCAATAGCAATTACACTTTAGTTGATTATCAATCCTTTCTTTATTATTAAAAAGGCAATGAATTTTGTCTTTTTGAAAGAAGATAAATGTAGCCAACGCATAAATAACACGTAACTGAAAAAGTTGTTAGAGACCTTGTATAAATGGTCTGATTTTGACTTTTTCTTTTCTTTTCTTCTTTGGACCAAAAAGTAAGACCAGCTATTCCCCAGATAGCCCTAAGGTATGTTATATTCTTTACTCTTGTAAGAAACTGACATGTAGTATTATAGATCACAATCGAAACCAACCCGGTGTTGTCTGGGGATAGTTTGGTTCTTACCAAACTTTGGTCCCGTCCACTCTCTTTTTCTCTTCTTTCTCCGGGCTGGTTATCGCCAGCCCTATTTAATGCACTTCAGGTAAGATGTTAATTTTTTTGTCAGTGTACGAATAGTTTGCAAGTTCCGATTTCTCCTAGCGGAAATTGAATTTGATTTCCTTTTTCATGTAAAAAAAGTTTTTTTTTTTTTGTTTTCATTCTTTGCCATATAACCGAAACGTCTCTTTGCCCGTTTCATAAAAGAGAATGGAGGTAAAGAGAAAGACTGTGCGCATGTGATAATAATATAAAATATTAATACGATATATATATATATCCTATATTCAAAAAAACCAGCAATTTGTAGCAGGACTAGAAGAACTTTTAACAAAGCTAGCCACAGCCCAGGATTCTGATACTATTAGAGTTGTAAAGTATAAGAACAATATACAATAGGTAGACTGCTCATATCCTTCTTTCAATAGGCCACCTCTACCTTAAATACTCAATTCTATGTCTCAGCTGATTGCATTCCAGCCTTTGTCGAAATTATCAGTCGATCACCTTTACACCAAGTTCGCCAGTTGGCAGCTGTTGAACTAAGAAAGCGTATTTCTAAGCGCTGGCATGAAGTTCCTGAGGCTACGCAAGTGGCTATTCGTGGTCAATTGCTGCAAATTGCTTTAAGCGAGCAACAGTAAGATCTAAACAAAAAGAAAAAAGTTAATAACTGATTACAATCTGCTTATACAGTGAAATTGTTCGTCATTCCACCGCTCGTGTCATCTCATCGATTGCTCGTATTGATGTACCTGAAAATAAATGGCCAGAGTTGCTAGGTTTTCTGAATCAAGCCTGCACCAGTGCAACAACTATTCATCGTGAAGTGGGTACTTACTGCTTGTACACACTATTTGAAGTGATTGCAGATTTCTTTATGGACCATACCGCTCCCTTATACGCATTATTCTCAAAATCAATTGCAGATCCTGAAAGCAAACGTGTTAGAGTAACAACCGTTTTGTAAGTAAACCAAAAACATGTTGATCACAGCCAGTAATGATGACAAGCTGCTTCTTAGAACTTTGGGAAAGTTGGCAGAGTTTATTGAATCTGAGGACAAGGAGAATATTGTAAGTTGTGTAGATTGTGGAAAAAGAATGATATTCATATGATATTAGAAAGCGTTCAAAGAGATGATTCCAGGTATGGTCAATGTCTTAGAGCAGTGTCTTAAGGAAAGTGATGAAGAAAGCGCAAGTGAAATCTTTGAAGTATTCGATACTTTGTTAATGCTGGTAATTAATTAGATGAAACGTATATTCTCCTTCTTTATGAGTAACTGTGTTTCAATCATAGGATGCACCTCTTTTATCTAACCATTTGGCAGATTTAATCCAATTCTTCTTGACAATTGGCTCAAATCGAGGCTTAGATGACTCTCTTCGTGTCATGGCACTTTCTTTCCTTATGTGGGCAGCTGTATAGTAGGTGTCATGGAAAAAGTGAAAAAGCATACATTAATCATCTTGGTGTAGTAAGCAAAACAAGATTAGAAATTTGAAGCTTGTTGCTCCCATTATTGAAGGGCTTATGCCTATTGGAACAGAAGAAGAACCTGAAGATGTTGATGAGGATTCCCCTTCTCGTGTATGTAACAAATATCATCACGTAGTCGGTTTGCTTACACATTTATATAGCTTGCCTTCAAAGTATTGAACGCACTTGCAACAAATATGCCACCCCAACAAATATTCCCTGTTGTCATGCCTATGGTTGCTGGCTACATGCAAAACCCAGACGCCAACTATCGTAAGGCTGCCATGATGTCATTTGCAGTTGTCATCGAAGGCTGTGCAGATTATATGAGCCCCAAGCTCAACGATCTGTTGCCTCTTGTTTGTTCCGGCTTGCAAGATCCCGAAATCATTGTTCGCCGTGCTGCTTGTATGGCTCTTGGATGTCTTGCTGAAGAGATGCCAGCAGAGATTTCAGAAAGCCATCAAGCCCTACTTCCCTTGGTGTTTAATTTGATGAATGATACAAATCCAGAGGTGACCCGTCATGCATGTAATGCATTAGATGCTATCCTGGACAGTTTGGGAGACGAGGTGCTTCAGTATCTGCCCATGTTGATGGAGAAACTCTTGTTTCTTTTGGATCATGCGCCTCAAGTTGAAACCAAGGCAACCGTTATGGGAGCTATTGGCAGTGCCGCTCATGCAGCTAGTGAATCCTTTGAACCCTACTTTGCTCAAGTTATGCCACGTATCCGACATTTGATGACCTTAAAAGAAAGCTCAGATGATGCTCTGTTGCGTGGAGTAGCAACAGATTCAGCTGGTGCAATCGCTGAAGCAGTTGGTGCAGAGAAATATAGACCTTTTGCTCCTGATTTGATGGCTCTTGCAATTGAACAATTAGATATGGATTCACCACGATTAAGAGAGAGCTCATATGCTTTCTTCTCTATTATGGCTAATGTGTTTGGTGAAGAATTTGCACCCTATCTTCCTACAATCATGCCCCACATCATTGCTTCATGCAAGACGGAAGAAAGTGATGGCGTCAACGTTGGCAGCGAAATCGATTTAACGTTGGGTGATGGTGACGACGACGATGAAGAAAATGGATTCAATTTCAGCTCTTCTATTGCTGATGAAAAGGAATTTGCTGCTGATGCACTTGGAGAAATCTTTGAGAACACACAAGTTCACTTTTTGCCATATGTTGAATCTTCTGTGCAGGAACTCACAGATCTTTCTACTCACTTGTTTGATGGCGTTCGTAAGGCTGTTGTAGGTAGTTTGTTTAGTTTTTTGAAGACGTTCTATATTATGTCTGGATCAGAGGAATGGAAAGCTGGTTTGCCTGTAAGCTATCCTGTGTCAGAAAATGTTCAAAACATGATCAACGTTGTCATTCCAACCATCTTATCTGTCTGGAAAGAAGAAGATGACAAGATGGTTGTCGTTCAGATTTGTACAGAACTGCTCCAAGCCTTAAAGCTCATGGGCCCTTGTGTGATTGCTGAAAGCCTTGAAGAAATCTCACGTAATGTGTTGGATATTTTTGAAAAGAGATCTCTTTGTCAGCAAAATTATGAAGAAGATGACTTTGTTGATGAGGAAGAAGAGGCAGAGTCTGAATCCCTCTTGATTGGTGCTGCTGGTGATCTTGTGGCTGCTATATGTGAAGTTGTAGGAGAGGGATATTCTTCTTACTTTGATGTGTTTATGCCACTGATTGCAAAATACTATAAGAAATCAAAGACAGCTTCTGAACGTACCATGGCCATTGGTTGTCTTGGAGAATGTGTCACTGGTATCAAGTCAGCAGTGACACCACATACTGAACGCTTATTGCAACTCTTCATCAAGGCATGCTCTGATGAAGATCACTCAGTTCGCAGCAATGGTGCATATGCACTAGGTGTTCTTGCCAGTAATTCACAAGTGGACCTTAGTTCCCAATACCCTGCCATCCTTACAGCTCTGCATCCATTATTTCAGGCCCAACCTGTACCTAATGTTACAGACAATGCGGCAGGTGCAGTAGCACGTTTGATTATGAGCCGACCAGGTGCTATGCCTCTTGACCAAGTCTTACCTGTATTTACAAGTGTTCTTCCTCTAAAGGTTGATTATGCTGAAAATGAGCCAGTGTTCAGCTGCATATTCCAACTTTTCCGCGCAAACAATTCATTTGTAAGTGTGCATCCGTATATTCTTCAAATACTTTCCATGAAAACTTACATAATTTAATATAGGTTCATAGCCAAGTGTCCAGCTTCCTTCCTATCTTTGCCCATGTACTTTTAAATGAGGGACAGCTGTCAGATCATACACGTAACGAACTCGTTGGGCTATTGCGCGCTTTAAATGCTCAATATCCTGCATTGGGAATTGCTCAAAGCGACTTGAGCCATTTTTTGTAAAGCCAGAAATACTTGTAAACACCTTAGACCTTTTTTTTATTCTACATTTATAATAAATTAAAACTTATTAAAGCTCTATAAAAGCAACAATGCAGTCAGCCTCTTTTGTCTAAATAAGACATCAATATAGAATACAAGCATTGTAGATAAACAAACAGGCATTGGTGTATAAAAAGAATATTTTTACAGTAAAGGCAATATTTTGTGTATAAAGAAATCGACAGCTCTGTGAGAGTAAAGAAAAGACAAATAAAGTTCCATAGATTGCTTCTATAAGAGAATATGATGTATTACTAGTCGTAACTTTCTGTTATTTCTTTGTAATAATGCAATTACATGACGTGCGCCCATGTTAATTCATTAACCTATTATTTTTAACTGCATTGCTACTGAGCCTATTGAAAAATCACCCAATGAGGAAATGAGGAATAGCATTCTTAAAATACAGTATTTTCGGCTGAGACGTAAAATAAATTACATTTAAAAATTAAGGATCCCTCTTGCAGTTATGCAACCAATGATGCTGATATTCATATCTTTTTGATTATGAACCTTTACTTTCGCTGGTTCACCAACTCTCGACCAAGCTCTGCTTCTCATCATTTGTGAATGAAAATCGGCTTCATCTACGAACACACAGTTTTTCAAAAAAAATCGACACCTACTGCTTTCCACTGTAATCATATGGTATCAAAGATTTAAAGACCTTTGTGAATCTCTTTCTGCAGTGTATTTGCTCGCTTGCTTGAGACTCAAAACATTTCTCTCGAATATGAGTGTAGAGACTTGAAATAGTAATGTCACCTATTTCTGGAAAGTTGCTTAATAACTGCGATCTGGCTTCTTCAAGGACAATCGATGGATTTTTATTAAAAAGAACAATCAAGAATTCGGTATGTCCCTGGAAAAAATTTTTAGGTTTGACAGTTTTTGGTTTAACTGTTGTGCCTGGAAGTACGTGCCCGTCACAACTATTAAACTCGTCCAAAAGCCTATAAGCACCTGAACGAGGTATGCCGTATACCGCAGTCGCTTTAGGGACAGATAATCCCTCTTCTTGGAGTACTTTGATGGATCTTTCTATCTGGTCTGCTCCATAATTTTTATATTTTCTCGTACTGAGCTTGACTTTACTCATGTCAACTGTAATTTCCTCCACCAAGTCTTCCATTGGCTGAGGTTCGATTACTTGGTGATTTAAAGATTCAAAATGAGTTAAATTATTCAATGTACCAAAATCAAGCTCATGGTTATCAACTTCCATCTCATATTGTGCTCTTAGCAAGGATTCAGTTTCTGGGTTGTACTTAATGTAGTCCATTTAGTATGAAGTTTCAAGAAAAAAGAAAATTTCTAAAAACTAAAGTCTTAGTTTTTCCAAAGTTGAACCCTTAAAGAAACATGAAGCTGCACAGCTTGAAAAAGAGTATCATCTGGATGAGTGTGATTCAAAGAAGAGGAAAGCAGACACATCAAATCAAAAGCCTAAACCTCTCAAAAAGGGTACAACTGCGTATCAGATTGTGAAATTCATGGAATCAATTATGGACGTAATGGACCAAAATGATTTGAAAGGGCATTTTATTGTGATAGACAACTGAAAAACACAGTATTTTCAGTTGAGTTGGGAAATTCTGAAAAACATATCTGGACGTCATTTAATTTTTTTGAAATGATCAGTAAATTTTGATGTAGTATACGAATTTATGAAGCATCATCATAACTACACGAGAGCTAAGTGATCTTGGTTGTTGATCCAGAGTAGCTAGCGTGAGATTGTTGTTCGTCATTGCAGAGATACGGTAAAACTGTTCAAATATGGCCTTGGAAGACCAGTTACCGTGCACCACTATGTCATCCACTGCGATGCCTGCTTGAGCGGCTAGTGTAGCGCCTAAGGCCCTGGCCTTGGGAACCGGAGCATCGTCTGGTTTTCCCACTTGTGTCATGATTCGGCGGATGTGCTTAGAGATTCGTTCGGGCCCGATTGGCTGTGAGTGGTCGGCTAAAGAACGGAAGAGGCAATGTATGTTGATTAAAGGGAAGGCTGGATGAGCTATGTAGTATGTCACCGAGGCAATCCGAGAAACATAAACCGAGTAGGCTGTGACAGGACAAAGAAGAAGATCCGGATGCGAGTGAATGGTGATTGTCTTGGTAATGCGGGATCCTTGGCGTGTTTCTTTTGGAGCCACGACACACAAGTGTAAAACCTTGTCCTCAGAAATAGAGCATTTGTCTAGATCCACTCTTGCCAAGCCAGACAGACGGAAAAATCCAACTATCGCCAAGAGCCAAGCCGTTTTAGCTGTGAGGAGATCGTCTGAGAGATCACTGGTAGAACCTAAGGAAATAATGTAACTGATAGCGAGAGCAACGTCGTACGACCAGTATCGAGGAGGCAGGATGGTTTTAGCCTTGAGTGCTTTAAGGAAGGCCACATAAGTTTCGAAGTGTTTGATAGCTTGCTAATCCTCGGCGGAGACATAGCCAGAATTGAATTGCTATAGGAACGAATGGTGTTCTAAGAGCATTCAAATAGGAAACGCCGGCGCTCAGTATCTGGAAGAGGACGACGAAAGAAATCTTCCTCAATGAAAGGGCAGTGTTCCAGAAGAGCTGAAGAAGGAGTGAAATCAGCTCCGGGAGACCGAACGACCACGTTGGGGGCTTCCTGTAAGAAAAGGGAAGACGCGAACTTAGCTTCCAGGGAGGAAAGGCGGTTAAAGGATTCCATGGCCCATGCAGGAGGTTCAGCTTGATCATAGCCATTGTTCTCAGTATTCATGATTTGACAGCGGGTTGTCCAGGTGCGTACAAATTCGAACGAAAAGAAGATAAAGGATAAAAAAAAAAAAGCTTCTTATATTACTGTATTTTATTTTACGTTATACAATTCGAACTAATAAAGAAAAGAATGGTTACAACAACCAAGATCACAAAGCTCGAAGTGTAATTGTATTTTATTAGTGAAAAGTAGTGAAATTGAACTCAGCGCGTTTTTACGTGTATTTTTAACTTTTATTTAACATCAACTGCTGGGTGGGTTGTTCGCTAAATTGAAAATCGAAGATTGAATTATAAAATAGCGGAACTGACGATGTACTGTGCGGTGGTACTTATTAAATGAAGCACTTCAAACTTGCGGGTGTAAGTATCGATTAACTTCAGAAGAAGTATTGCAATAAGTTGTTCGAATAGAAGTTTAGTTTTCCTTATTTTTAAAACCTTTTTCGTTTGGTTTAAACCTATTGTTCTCTTTATTGAAATTCTAATCCTTTTATACCATTTACAGATTATCAAAGTTATCAAAAGAAGTCAAATATTATTAACACAATTGCTTTTACAAGAAGGAGTCGCGAATAGCATAAGACATTCTATCTTGATCCATCAAGGTAATCTTACTGTGCCAACTAGTTCAATTTCTTTTGTTGGAAGGGACCGTAATCGACTTGAGTGTATCTAAGTTATCTTAATTAATTTAAACTTATTTCGGTTGTAACACTGGTTGATAACTCTATCAGGGTAGATAATCTAAACCATAAAAAGTAGTAGCTTCCAAAAATTCAAATGGCTAGCATAAACAATAGGGAATCCTAGTCGCTGGCTCCGCCGTGACATTCGTCTTTCCTATTTCATTCACCGTCACGACTTGCCCAATGCACCCCAAGTGCCACGTCTAGAATCTCTTTTCTTAACTTTGCCATTTTCTACCCATGTGTCAGTTGAACTCCATCTACAACTTCTTTCAAATTACCAGAGTTTCACCTGCACAATATGAGCAACCACAACAACACGAGTAGACTATTTTAAATAAGGAAAAGAGAAAGTTATTGCTTAATTATTCTGCCGCGAAAATCGAGTTTACAACCAAAAGAATACTCAGTAGTGCCAGAACTGCTGGAGATGCCTTAAAAGTATATTTCTTTTGGCGTTTCTTTTTTATGTTAATTAACAAAACTCAAATCACATATCTAAAGTTCTAACTTCGGCAATGCAATCACCAGTACAATTTGTTCACTTAGTATACAAATGCCATATATACAAAGAATTTACGGATACATACAATTTACGAAGACATTATAAGGACTCTGAAGGTAGCTAATGTTGTTCTTGTACTTATATAATTTTAATACTATTGACTTAGGTCTTCGTTTTCCTCCATTGAAATCGCGATTTTATAACACAAAAACGTAACTAATTCTGACTCTTGCTTTTAAATATATTTTTACCAACATTTTTTTTTAAAATCCTTGACAGCATCAAGTACATTAGTAAAACGAAAGTCAAAACAAATGTAAATAATAGCTAAAACCAATCCTTCTTCGAACTTATAGTATTTAATTTGTAGCCTGATGCAGCCACTGGATTCTCAGGTGTTAGCTGTACGCACTTATGATATATGTTACTATCACATGATGTTTGTTTGACGTTTTAAAAAGTACCTAAAAACCAACTTCAGCAATTTATTGGATAGTGAAAAATGGGTGCTATTCACTGGAAAGGTGGTTGATAATACCCTTCATGAATCTGGCAAACTCTGTTTGGTTGATCATCCCTCTTCATCAATGATCATCAATCTTGATGATAATACGTATGTGGGCAAAGAAATGTTTACAGCGAATGAATTAAACGAGATGTATTTGAAAAGTGTAATGGAATTTGAAGTACCATTGCCTAAAGAGCTAGCAGATTTTATAAACAAATTCAATTGTGATACAATACCTGAGGTTCGAAAGCAACTTTTAGTAATAGAAGAATGGGAGAAGAACTACAGTATTGAAGAATTTCACGATCTTGACTGGATAAAGTTTACTGTATATTCTTTTGTTAGTAAACATTTTATGTTACTGTTCTAATCAATAAAATCATAATATTAACATATGAATGAATTCTTTGGTATTGTGTTTAATTCATTCCAAATACAGGAATTAAACGACGTATCGCATAACCAAAATATTTCATATGTACTTTCGCGGGAATAGTCAAAAAAAGGTATTTTGTATGCATTTATAGGTTACAGCACGAAAAATGTGTACCTAAAACAGATTCTATTATATGCGCTGATATAAAGTATAGCTAATTCAAAACCGACTTGTCAAAATGCTTCAAAGCATGGATTCTGTCAACATTACGTTAACTATTGCTAAAAAGTTTCCAGATACAAGAATTCATCACCAAAGATCAACATCAATAGATCCTTGAATTCACCTTTCCAAAGAGTCAATCACCTCCCATGGAAGAAATTGAACAGGATGAAGGTACACAACTTCATCCTATTGATACTGAAAACACCCATTTCACTCTTCTTTTCGTTACCCTGGTGCATATAGTCTTTATATTCCCTCTAACATGATGCCTATCTCTATGCATAAAGATGGGCATACAACATTTATACTGAACACAGAGATGGGTATAGAGACGAGCATAGAGACGGGCCCATCTCTATGCCCATCTCTATGTCCATTTCCAAAAATAAAATAGATGAAACCGAATGAAATTACTTTCTTCCTCGATTAAACATATGTGGTTAAAACAGCTACTTTATTGTATTCGTAGTATTTTTTTAAGAAGGGAATTATTCTTTTCACAGACACTATTTATTTTTCTTTTGCCTCAAATGTACAAAATCTAACGTAGATAAAACTTTAAAGACATCGATATTTGTTTCGAAGAAAATCCATATGAGTCATTATTACATTTTAATTAAAGAATTGATTCAAATCCTTTGTAATATAAAAGATATCATAGTGGTATGCTTTTGATAGAAAATTGCTATGCTTTACATGCTTACAAGCGTTCTTCTAGGCTCAGATTCACATCCATGTATCGTCTTTGAGCATTATGTCACCGAATTCTTTTCATTGACGGAACGTATTTCTTATATAATAGATCTTTACCTAAATATGTTGACAATCTACTGGGAATACAAAAAAAAGGCATCCTTTTGTATCTTCACTACCAAAAGATGGGCTCTTCTTTTTTTTTATTATTATTATTCTATTGTATCTTTAAACAATAGCAAAATATATTTCAGGCTATGTCTTAATATTATACAAAATATTTACAGATATCACGGCTTGCCTATCTTTAAGCTTAAAAAGCCAGCAACACCAGCCATTATGCCTCCTATTCTTAAAATCACACCAATTGTATCCGTAGATGCTTGTCCTTCTTTACCATTCTCCAGTAATCGAAATACAAGACTACTAAAGAAGGTAACAAGAAACTGAGGCAAGACTATATACATATTATGAATACCAAGCAATACACCTGCTGATGTTGAGGACTTCTTTTGATCTGCAGCTTCTCCGCTTGATTCACCCGTTCGATGAGACTCTTTGATACCAGTCATTTCAATATCCTCTTCGTCTTCATCATCGGTTGTCATGATCGGTTGGTACATGCCTGGCTCAGGCCCCACCACATTGCTTCGGGCAATATTAAGACTAACCCGTGATGCCATCATTTGAGAATTGCCAAAGACAACGTTTTCTGGGTCTTTTTCAGCTTCCTGCTCTGAGATATATTCGCCCAACAAGGAAAAAGGTGCCCACATTGTGATTGCCCAACTGATGCCACATAAGCCAATGACAACTGCGGCGGCAGTAACATCTCCTACAAAGAAGGTGGATAGCATACATATACAAAAGATAAAATGGCTGATTGTCCACGACCGAGGTAGCGTCAAGAATGGTATCTTTACATATTTTAAAAAGTCGAGCTTGAGTTGTGTGTTGTTGTATAGATGAATGGTATACTCGTTCTTGTTAGCATTCCTATCAGAGGATGATACAAGTAGTGGTATTAGAAACGATGAGGATAACGAAATGAGAGAATAGACAAGGAATGCAAATGATCCTGCTCGAGTGGCCTGTCCTACTTTATCTTCTTCAGGATTTGATCCCTCTAGTTGCGAATCACTGTAGATCTCAGCAACCCACGTTGTAGAATAAAATAAGAATGGAAACCAGCCAATCCAGGAAAAGAACTGCACATTACAGATACGTTGAATTGGTTTAGGCAAGTGCCAAATGTTTCTAAAGATGTCTGAAAATAGCTTGAACGGTGATCTTCTCTTTGGTAAACTATTTTATTATTAGTAAGACTCTCTTTTCTTATTTATTTCTGCATGTACCTTGTGCTTTTATCAAGTGCCTTTTCTCTTACAGTGTAACATGTAACAAAATCGCATAGTAAAAGGATAATAATGGCCAAGATACATAGAACCTTAAGCTGTGTATTTCCAAAAAATGGGAAATACTTTACCAAATCAATATATCCCCTGAATAAAATACGTTTAGTTTTATTACATTGTTTTACAGTATAACTTACATGAAATAACCAGCTACATTCCCCAAACCTACCATCCTGCCTGCCCAAGCTGTCGCATTCTCTTGTTGAGCTGAAGGAAGTGAATCAACGATTAAGGCTCGACATGAAGCTTGTACTTGATCTATATTTAATATAAAGCATTGACCCTTTATACTTAAGCTTACCACAGTTAATACTAAAATCCAAAAGATATATCGAGCCAATAGCAATAATGATCGACACCGTTTTAAACTGTTAAAGTAAATTCAGTTATCTTAAAAGTATATCAAATGGGAAAAGAGAAACTTACTGTATCGCCTTCTTGTGACTGTACGAGTAATGCTGTAATCTCTCTTGTCCATCCAATAAATAACAGACTCAATACGACCATGATGCTTCCTCCCAATAAAAATGGACGTCGTTTTCCCCATTTTGATGTACAGCTGTCAGAAATAACTCCTACGATCGGCTGCATAACCAAACCTTGATTTGGTATATAAGAACAGTGATCTCGATGCATATATTAACTTACCTGATAATGGTCCTGCAATCCAAACTAGTGACATATATGTCTTTGATAAACCTAATGATAACAAGTATGGCGTACCTATACATAACTGTGAATCAAAGAATAGATTAACATGTCTTAATGAACACAATTACCATAGGCCATTTCAACTGTCCCTACAAGAATGTGAAATAAAGTAAATATTTTCAATGTCAACGTCTTGTGAATTTGAGCTTACATGTAAATTGAAGTCTTTAAAAAGGAAGAGGGAAGATAGTCAGTCTCGGTTATAAGAGTAGAGATATATTATATTTATGCTCACCCCGCCAAGCATAGTGTTAGAAATATAATTTGACAAGTAACGTTTGCACCACGAATAAATGTACTTTCTCTTGGTATAATATTCATTAGCATAGGTGCTTCTTCTTCTAGGTGATCATATGAACGACGTTCTTCGTGTATACTTTCTGCAGAATTGTGTTCTTGCAGAACCATTTCAATAAATAAATCAGGTATATTAAAATAAAAAAAGAAAAAGCGGATCTTGATATATATGTGTGTACGCTTATAAACATGACGTACGGTGTATCACCTTCAGTGCTTTTATAACAAACTCTATCCACTTGTTTATTTATTTACTTTATAAAACAATACAGTTATTATTATTACGATAAATTAATCTTTACAATATTTGAAGCTCCCATTCTACTTTGGCCATCACTGGCTTTTCAACAGGCTTCAATGGTTCTTTTCTGGCTTCTTCATATTCTTCAGGTGAGGCGTACTACAACAAAAAAGAAACAGTGAATATAAAGATCATCATCATACCATATACCTAAACTTACCAAACTGACAGCAAGCTGAAGTGGAACAAAAATGGTTTCCATAGAGCCTTTGAGTTCATTTAAGAACTTTTCAAACTTTTCTTGAATAGACCTTGCTTCATCAACATATCCAAATGGTACAAGTGCACGTAATAAATTACCAATGTCATCTATATTAAAGTTGTGTTAGCTCATTATGTACGCATATACACACACGAATCCTATTATTTACTCTGCATGTTGCTTGCTTTTTCATATAGCTTCTTCAAGGAGCCAACAAGATATTCTTCTTCAAATACTGTTCCCTTCTTACCACGTGCTCTCTTTCTTTCTTCCTTTCTTCTAAGCTTAGACGTCTTTCTACTACGTCCTGAACCTTGAGAAGTAACAGACGAAACTCTGGATGAAGCATTTGTATATCTTGTAAATTGACTGTACATCGATGTGGTATCGGAGAACATATCAATGTTATCTAGTGATTCATCGTTGGCCATAGGATTTTCTATCTTCTGCTCGATTTTCTTGGTACGAAGTTCAGTTAAACGAGTCGTTTGCTTGTGGAATTGAGCCAGCATTTCATCAATGTCTTCCTCAGTTTGCGTAAGGCCTTCGACCAATCCAGATTTGACATGTGTTTCAATCAAATCAGATCTGTTAAAGGTATAAGACACTCGTTCAGCTTCCTTCCAGAAACCGCCCTTCAAGAAACAATCAACTGCTTCTTCAATATCCATAGCATAATCTTTGGCAACAGCGGCAGCTTCTTGGTATCGACGTTTCTCTTTGAGATACTCAATCATGTCATAAGCTAGTGCATGGATCTCTTCATTTGTGTATTTCAATTGTTTAGCAATAGAGAATGCCTCTCTCCAGCAACCTGCCATACGATAGGATTCCATTGCCTTTGTCTTATTGTCAGCCATCATATATACAATGCCCGCTTCTTCATAGTTGGTCTTGAACGATAAATGGTCACCATAGGCATTAAGAATAGCTGTCTTCTGAGATAGTCTATTAGCATATTCTTCAATTGCTATCAAATACAGGTCATGCTTCTTCATGTAGTTCATGAGTTCTTCAAAGTGTTCGTCACCAGCTTGGCTCAAGTTTCGAATAGCCTTCTCATAACGCTTCAAATGGTCATCAATCCTGTATCTTTGATAATATTTTTCAAGGCTCTTGAGCTCTTGTAAGAAAGGAAGATATTCCTTTGGATCCATTTGAGCTTGCTGTGCAACCATGAGAACAAGAGGAAAGTTGTACATTCCCAAAGCAACCTTGTATAAATGCTCGGCCTTACACAAAAAGATAGTGTACTTTAATGCCTCTTCAGCTGCAGATAGATCAGATTCACGGAGTTCGGACAGTAAGGACAAGGCAGATTCGATATCTGGAGGTGAGCTTCTTACATAGGTTGAAATGATGGATTGAATATAGTGCTCACGTCCAAGTTGAACAAGAACATTACGTATAGCTTCACAGATCGTATTGACCTTGTTTTCTACGCCTTTAGCAGCCGTCAGATCTTCAGCAGATTTGCCACCACGTCGATACATGGTCACGGAAGTATCTTCGTTTCTAAGGTTAGACAAGAATAGGTTAAGGTAATCAACATCAGCTACTTGTTGAACAAAGGTGCCAATATTTTCCATGAAGCGCTCTGGGTTGTCATCGTACAAGATGTTCAGGTCAATTCTGTTTCTTCTACAAGCAATAAATGCAGAACGATAATCAAGTGCCTTTAAATCTTCACGAATGGCAGCAAGCACAAACGCTCTAGGGCTAATTGTTTCGAGATTACCACGAGGCATCTGAAGAACGAGATTAGGCTTTTGCTGAGTAGCAAGCACAATCTTAGATCCACGCTCAAGTCTTCGTGAGGTTTCGTCATACGGATCAGCAGTAGAATCGTGAAGTTTCAGATCTTCAATATTTACATTTTCAAAAGAGAGGAATCTGGCTTTGTTGCTTGTTGTTGAGAACACTACCCAGTTGCCGCGTACAAAGAGCGAAGTTGCTTCAGAAGATACAAGGTTGTTTTCAACATATAGCTTGCTGCGATCGGTCAAGCCGATAATGACACGCTTGTCTTGCTCGTTTGTCAAACTAGCTCTACTAGATGCAATCCATGAGCAAAAGTCAGGGAAGCTGTGGATCTTGGTAACAGTTGGTGTCTCTTGGTTGAGTTCAGAAGCTTCGTAAACAGAGCCTTCGACATCTTCTAATAGCAGGTCCTTGTAGGTAGCATTAAAGTAGATACGCTCAATTTGAGACGTCATCGGGATAGCCTTAACAGTAGGAATATCATGTTCATTAGTTTTAAATGTCATTACACACAACATATCCGTTTCCAATTCATCGTCATATTGACAATAGACAAGCTGATTTTCATTGATCCAACGCAATTGATGAATGATATTGCGACCATAACTTCTATTTGATTCAGTGATTGCAGGTAAGTCATATTCACTCAAAATGGTTACATCACCAAGACCCTTTGCTGGAAGTTCAACTAGTTGGATGCTATCATTGGTGACAACAGCGACCTTTAATCCTGCGTCATCATAGCCAAATGTAACTTGTTGAATATCACTTTTGGCAGTGAATGTAAGAGAAGACATGGGTGGTGGGACGTTCTGATAGACAAAGGGTGTTACTAATAGGTTGGAGCCATCGATGACAGCAACATATCCAGAGTTGACGTGATCAATTGACGTGCTGGTAAATACTTCTAACGTATAGTTGAGACGATGATATTCTCCTGCGCTGCTAAACAAATGAGCAATCATGGCATTTTCTACATCCCAAGCAAATCCAACAACATCTCTGCCTTCGGAAAGTACAATATGCTGTTTCATATACCAATAATAATTTTTGGTTGTCCACAGCTGAACTGTTTTCTGTAATTTTCCTGCAATCTTTGTTTCAATCCAAATAGCCAAAATAGTAGAGTCTGCATTCCACAAGGTTTCCAAGACCCTTTGTTTATTTTGCTCGGTCTCTCTTAATGTAAACTCACCATGTCTCAAGCCGTTTCGCTCAAAGAATACAACGTCATGTCTATGTGGTAATTGTTGAGTAGATACAATCAAGTTTCCTGAAGGTCTCCAATCTAATGCCTGCTCCAACTTATCGACTGGCTCACTTGTGTTTTGTAAGACGCCTTCACGATTATACACACGAATCACACGGGCATTCTTGTTTGGATCCACATCAGAAATGGTGAAAAAGCTTCCATCTCCTCTCCAAGCTACTCGTGGCTTCATATCATCATCTTCAGATATAGTGAATTTGCTTGTATCTACCTTTTGTTGAGCAGCAGCTTTTCCAGCAGATCCATGAAACTGTGTTTCCTTTTTGCCCCATCCAACACTGTGGTGTACTCCTTCTCCTTGTTCCTCCACATGTAGCTGAAATTCTGTGATGGTATCAAAGTCTTGAGTCATTTCAAGTACATTTTTCTCCCCTATATAATAACAATGCTCGATTCATTTCAACGCAAAAAAAACGTTCGATTTATATTGTTTTACCTGTAACAAGTACAACCAAGTCTTGATCGGGACTCCAGCATAATGCATGAATACCAGAATCTACAGACCCGACTACTTCCATCTATGTATGCCACACAAAAGATATTAATACCAGACATTCGTTATACATGTATATCCTTCTATTACATACAGCTTCCTCTCCTTTTTCGAAGCGTTCTTTGTTAAAGAGTATGATATCACCATCATAAGTACTGAGACAAGCAGCTTGAAGATCCGTCAGGTAGGTAAAGTTGACAATTCCTTGCGTTAGACAGCTTCCAATTTGAACAAACGTATTCGGGTCACCGGGAACGGAATTGTTGGCTGACACTATAACATGTGAATTGTTGTCGACATGTGCAATATAAACTGTATTTGATTCCGGATCTATCGCGAGAAAAGAGCGTTCCTTTATCTCTTGATTTGCTACCTTGAATAACCTGTGTCCCAGTAGTTCCAAGCTACGCATTGTTGTGATTCCAAGTCAACTTCAAATTTTTTTTTTCCTCAAACTTATCAAACGCTTGAAGCAGTCACTTTTCCTCTTTGGACAAATGGGCGGCATGAATTGAACAATAAAAAGGTGTGGAAATGACCAAGGGTTGTATCCTTAATAATCAAAGAATAATAGAACAGAGTTCTCCTGGTATTAAATATATTCTCATTGATGTTCATAGACGATAGATGAACTAGACGTTGACTCTGCAGTCAAAGGAACTTAAAAGATGCACTGATAAATGGAAGCAAGTAACTGAGGCTCAATACTTTAATGTGTGAGCAACTAACGAGATCCTTTCTTTTATAAACTCACAACGCCTTTTAGTTTAAGCAAGAAATATAAAAAGCAACTGAGACGACTTTTCTGCTCTTGGTGTTTAGTCTTTCTAGCCTGTGTGCTCGTTACCTATAAATGTTATCATGTCCTTTATTAATAAATGATTATTATGGAAAAGACTTGAGCTTTGTTGTGATTCATCGATATAAGTAGAAAAACAGAAAGACACTATCTCATTTTTCAAAGGATTCAATTTCTGTTACTGACAGTGACTAAACCTCTTTTAGTGGTGCATCCTGTTCACAATGCAGCGCCACTTTATAAATTTATTTTCCGACGAAAAATGCAAACGTCACTGCGATTTGATTGCGGGCAAAATAAATCCCAATCTCTTTTTTTATTTTCGTCTGTTTTGAGTTGCTGCGACGTAGCCTTTTGTTCGAATACATTTTTTTTGATTGAATCGGACAACAAGAATCTCCACACAACACAATCAACCTTTAATTATAAACAGTCTTCATCATCTTTTCCTTCGACCTTGTTTGCCTGTTTCTGCTCTTACGATCTCTTAATTCAAGTTCATTTATCTTAGTTCACTAAAAAGAAGAAAACTAAAAAAACCAGCAAAAAAAGAAATCATTGTCGAATCATTTCATTAATCCTTTCTTTATAAAACACACACAAAGACACTTTTACAAAAAAACTTCAGCAAAAATCATTCAGAAATGAACGGACATCCTTTTGCTTATTCATCTGCACCACTTCGACGTGTTGATGCTGTACAATTTGGCATTCTTTCTCCAGAGGAGATTGTAAAGTGTTTGCGTGCATACATGTATAAATTAGATTCCTAACACTTTTGTTTTCAACAGAAAGCAATGTCAGTCGCCAAGGTTGAGTTTCCAGAACTATACGAAGAAGGTACTCAAAAGCCTAGAAATGGTGGCTTATTAGATCCTCGAATGGGCACCATTGATCGTAACTATAAATGTCAAACCTGTGGTGAAGGAATGGCCGAATGCCCAGGACATTTCGGTCATATTGATTTGGCTAAACCTGTATTTCATATCGGTAAACATTCTGCTTACAAAATTTTTTTGAATTCTCTTATTCATGTATAATTAGGATTCTTGGCCAAAGTAAAGAAAATCCTGGAATGTGTCTGTTTTCACTGTTCTAAACTTAAAATTGATCAAGTAAGCAATTATTGTAATAATATATTGGATTCTAAATTGTCATTAGTCAAATCCTAGATTTGAAAGAGCTCGACGAATTAATGATAGAAAAGTGAGACTTCGCGCAGTTTGGGATATTGCTAAAACCAAAATGACCTGTGAAGGTGGTGATGAAGAAGATGGTCTGGAAGAAAAAGAAGAATTCAATAGTGGCAAGCGTAAGAGTAATCATGGAGGTTGTGGTTACAAACAGCCTCTTATCCGTAAAGATGGTTTAAAGCTTTATGCACAATTCCGCGCAAGCCCCGGAGATGTATGTTAGATTTGCTTTTATTGATCGTTATGCTGATCGCTATCATCTATAGGATGCTGGGAGTGAAGGCAAACAGTTGTTGACACCTGCAAAGGTTTTACAAATCTTAAAAAATATTCCTGATCAAGATATAAAAGACATGGGCTTGTCTGAAGAGTTCGCTAGACCTGAATGGATGATTATCACTGTCTTGCCTGTTCCGCCTCCACAAGTTCGTCCTTCTATTCAAATGGACGGTACCAGTAGAGGTGAAGATGACTTGACACACAAGCTTTCCGATATTTTAAAGGCAAATGCGAACGTCAAGCGCTGTGAGTCTGAAGGTGCACCAGTCCATGTTGTAAATGAGTTCGAACAGCTATTACAATTCCATGTTGCAACTTATATGGATAATGATATTGCTGGTCAGCCACAAGCTTTACAGAAATCAGGAAGACCAGTAAGTGAGCGAACTATTGTCCATATTCTTCTGTTTTTACTTACTTTATTATAGCTTAAATCCATTCGTGCTCGTCTTAAGGGTAAAGAAGGTCGTCTTCGTGGTAACTTGATGGGTAAGCGTGTAGACTTTTCTGCACGTACTGTCATTACAGGTGATCCAAACCTTGCTCTTGACCAAGTGGGTGTACCTCGTAGTATTGCTCGTAACCTTACATATCCTGAAATTGTCACACCTTACAACATTGACAAGCTGCAACAGCTGGTCCGTAATGGTCCTCTTGAGCATCCTGGCGCCAAGTATGTCATTCGTGATAATGGAGAACGTATTGATCTTCGTTATCGTAAGAGAGCTGGTGAAATACCATTACAATATGGATACAGAGTTGAAAGACATATTAATGATGATGATGTCGTCATCTTTAACCGACAGCCCTCACTTCACAAAATGTCCATGATGGGTCACAGAGTCAAGGTGATGCCATACTCTACTTTCCGTTTGAATCTATCAGTCACCTCTCCTTACAATGCTGATTTCGATGGTGATGAAATGAATCTTCATGTTCCTCAGTCTCTAGAAACAAGAGCTGAAATTACCGAAATCTGTATGGTTCCAAAGCAAATCGTTTCCCCACAGTCAAACAGACCGGTCATGGGTATTGTGCAAGATACTCTTTGTGGTATTCGTAAGTTTACTTTAAGAGACTGCTTTTTGGCCAAAGACTTGGTAATGAACATCGTTATGTGGGTGCCCTCTTGGGATGGCTATATACCTCCACCTGCCATTCTTAAGCCAAGACCCCTATGGACTGGTAAACAAATTCTTTCGATGGTCATTCCTAAAGGCATCAACTGTCAAACCTTCCACTCCACTCATCCAGATGGAGAGACCACACTAATATCTCCTGGAGATACTCGTGTCATTATCGAAAATGGTGAGCTGATATGTGGTATTGTTTGTAAAAAGACAGTTGGTACATCAAACGGTGGCCTTGTGCATACAATCATGAATGAACTTGGCCCAGAAGCAGCCAAAGACTTCCTCAGTGGTACACAGTTGGTTGTTAACTACTGGTTACTACAAAATGGTTTCAGCATCGGTATTGGTGATACAATTGCTGATCAAGTCTCTATGGCTACCATCACCAACATCATTTCTCAAGCTAAGCAGCGTGTACAAGAAGTCATTATTACTGCACAACAAGACAAGCTTGAAGTTCAACCTGGTATGACCCTTCGTGAATCTTTTGAAGCCAAGGTCAACCAAACGTTGAACAAAGCTCGTGATGATGCTGGTAAGATGGCTCAAAACAGTTTGAAAGAAGACAACAACGTGAAGCAAATGGTAATTGCTGGTTCTAAGGGTTCCTTCATTAACATTTCCCAAATGTCTGCTTGTGTCGGTCAACAAAACGTTGAAGGCAAGCGTATTCCTTATGGCTTCAAGTTCCGTACTCTTCCTCACTTCTCCAAGGATGATCACAGTCCCGAAAGTCGTGGTTTCGTCGAAAACTCTTATCTTAGAGGTTTGACTCCTACCGAGTTCTTCTTCCATGCTATGGGTGGTCGTGAAGGTCTTATTGATACAGCTGTCAAAACTGCAGAAACAGGTTATATTCAGCGTCGTTTGGTGAAAGCTTTAGAAGATGTCATGGTCAAGTATGACGGTACTGTCCGTAATTCCCTTGGTGATATCATCGAATTCTGCTACGGTGAAGATGGTATGGATGCTGCAACCGTAGAATCACAGAAATTTGCATCTTTGAGATGCAGCAATGAAGACTTTGAAAAGCGTTTTAGAGTTGATGTTATGAAGGATGGATTTAAGAAGGGTACCCTCAGCTATAATATTCGTCAAAAGATTGAAGGTAATGAAGACGCTCAGGCAATCCTAGAACAAGAATTTGCCCAACTACAAGAGGATCGTCACAAGTTACAGACGACCATCTTTAAGAATGGTGAAGATAAATGGCCATTGCCCGTCAATCTCTCTCGTTTGATTGTCAATGCTCAACAAATTTTCCATATCGATCCTCGTACACCATCCGATATCAATCCTTTCCAGGTTATCGATGGCGTTTCGAGCATCGTGGATCGTTTACATGTCGTTCGTGGCAAAGATAAGATATCGGCTGAAACTCAAAAGAATGCTACTCTGCTATTTGGCATCTTACTTCGCTCAACGCTTGCAGTTAAACGAGTTGTTGAAGAATACCATTTGACATCACAGGCCTTCGACTGGATTCTTGGTGAAATTGAGGCACGTTTCTTACAATCGGTTGTCGCTCCTGGTGAAATGGTTGGTACTATTGCCGCTCAATCTATTGGTGAACCAGCCACTCAGATGACACTGAATACTTTCCACTATGCTGGTGTATCAAGTAAAAACGTAACACTTGGTGTACCTCGTTTGAAGGAAATTATCAACGTAGCCAAGAATATCAAGACACCTCGACTTGAAGTGTGGCTTGACGCTGAAAGATCACGTAACATTGAATTGGCTAAAGAAGTACAAGTGAAGCTTGAGCATACTACTCTTCAAAAGCTGACTTCTGTTGCTGAAATTTATTATGATCCTGATCCACGTCAAACTGTGATTGCAGAAGATGTTGACTTTGTTGAAACATACTACTCACTTGAAGATGACAATTCACCATTTGTCACTCGTGTCTCACCTTGGTTATTACGTCTCGAATTGAATCGTGCCATGATGGTCGATAAGGGTATCTATGTTACTGATATTGTGCAAAAGATTTCTGAAGAGTTTAGACACGATCTCCATGTGATGGGTAGTGATGATAACTCAGAAAAGCAAGTTATTCGTTGTAGAGTTATGCTTGACGAAAATGAAAAGAACGCTGAAATAGATGATGAGAATAAGCCAGAAGAAGACACTTTCCTTCGTAAATTAGAATCAAGCATGTTAAGTTCCATCAATCTCTGTGGTATTCCTGGTATTAAGAAAGTATACATCGTTGAACGAAAGAACACGGTTCTTAATGATAAAGGAAGCTTTGAAACTACTACAGAATGGGGTCTTGATACGGATGGTACCAACTTACAAGAAGTCATGTGTCAAGAAGGTGTTGATGAAACTCGAACTTACTCAAATAATACAGTCGAAATTATGGAAGTACTTGGTATTGAAGCTACTCGTAAAGCCCTTCTTAAAGAATTGCGTAACGTTATTGAATTTGATGGTTCATACGTCAATTACCGTCACTTGGCACTTCTTTGTGATGTTATGACTAATCGTGGTCATTTGATGGCCATTACTCGTCATGGTATTAACAGAGCTGAAACCGGCGCTTTGATGAGATGTTCTTTTGAAGAAACTGTAGAAATTCTGATGGAAGCTGCAGCTGTTGGTGAACTTGATGATTGTAAGGGTGTTGCTGAGAACATCATGTTAGGTCAAATGGCACCCTTGGGTACTGGTGAATTTGATATTGTCTTGGACGAAGAGCTACTACAAACAGTTCCTCAAGATCACAGACAAAACTTGCAGATGGGTATTACTGGTGATGTCGCTGGATTTGCTACTCCTGGTCCTGGTTATATGACACCTGGTGTTGCTACTCCTTATGACACTCGCTCCCCTGATTGGGTTGATTTCTCCCAACCATCTTCTCCTTCAGAACCTATGTTCTCACCAATGGGTAATACAGGAGCTGCTGGCATTGCTAGTCCATGGCGCGGTGATCTTAGCCCTTATGCACAAAGTCCTGGATACTCTCCCACATCTCCGGGATACTCACCATCCAGTCCATCCTATGCTGCCTCACCTGGCTATTCACCCGCCTCACCAAGTTACTCACCTACAAGTCCCTCATACTCTCCTACCAGTCCTAGCTACAGCCCAACATCGCCTAGCTACAGTCCTACTAGTCCAAGCTATAGCCCTACATCTCCAAGCTATAGCCCAACTAGTCCCAGCTACTCTCCTACAAGCCCAAGCTATTCACCTACTAGTCCAAGCTATAGTCCTACAAGCCCCAGCTATAGCCCAACTAGTCCCAGTTACAGTCCCACTAGCCCTAGCTATAGCCCTACATCCCCAAGCTACTCACCCACAAGCCCTAGTTACAGTCCTACTAGCCCTAGCTACTCCCCTACGTCTCCAAGCTATAGCCCAACTAGTCCTAGCTACTCCCCTACATCTCCAAGCTATAGCCCAACAAGTCCTAGCTATTCTCCTACATCACCTAGTTACAGTCCTACGAGCCCTAGCTATAGCCCTACTTCACCTAGTTACAGTCCAACTAGCCCAAGTTATTCACCAACAAGTCCTAGCTACAGCCCTACTTCACCTAGCTATAGCCCTACCAGTCCAAGCTATAGTCCAACAAGCCCAAGCTATAGTCAAAACGCAAACAATAGAAAAAAGCGCTGGCCTGAAATGTAATTAAAACAATTGTGTGTTCCTCCCTCTTTTTTTTTTTCAGTGAAAATAACCAAAAAAAAAAGCAGTAATAAAAAGTAGAGCATAAGTATATTTTGTACAGTGGGCCAAATAACTTTGACTTTTATTATTTTGAAACAAGTGTGTGTTATTTATCTATAGTATAAATTCCACTTTTAATTAAAATAACGCATTACGTTTTCGTTAAGACGAATTTCTCTAAAAGCAAAATATGGAGCTTATTTTCTGTTGTTATCCTCCCTTTCTAAGATGATTTTTATCAAAATAGGCTTTTCCTAATAATGAATAATTAATTAGTCCAACAGAATTAAAAAAGGAGGGGGGAACCACTATTATAAACTGTCAAAGCTCGACACTCTGAAGCTTATAGGATAAAGGAAATATATCTTATATCTGCATCTAATGCTTGTTTTACCTCATCCATAAAATTATATCACTATTTTTACACAGGATTATTGTCAAGCCATTCGTCTGTGTGTGCTTCCAAGAAACTGTGAACTATCCCGCGGACGACCTACATAAAATTGCCCATATTCACAGTCTCTTGCGCCATAACGTCCATGTTTGATTAACCTAAAGTCATAAGTGGGGACGAAGACTAAAGCAGCTAATAAGTTTTTTTTTTTTTTTTTTTTTTTTTTTTTTTTTTTTTTTTTTTTTTTTTTTTTT